AGAACAATCATAGGAGATACGTACTTTATTATATCGTAAGAGAGAGCAACTTCGAAAAGTACGATTTGCTCGACGTTTATACGAAACCAAAATCGTGCGCTATTCGTTACAACAATGCTATTAACGCACAGCAAAGTAATGCATAGCGCAGTGTCGAGATAACAAATCAGGATAAGAGGCAACGATACTTGCGAGTATCAATTTAACATGCCTTTTTTAAGAGTGGAAGAGTGGACTATCGGCTTACCGATAATTTCTCTAGATTCTTTCTCTGTGTCTGTCTCTTTTAATTATTTTATCAAATTATTTTTAATTATTAATTTAATCTATTTCGACGAGTATGATGTATAATGTAATTTCTACCGGAGTTATATTGTTATATAGTTTCCGCATACCAGATGGAAGAAGAAGATTTCCACTGAACAAAAGACTAGCAGATCTCTATTAAAAAATTCCAAAACTTCGAACGGCGGAGCTTCGTTCATCTGAAATTCTTGACGATGCGAAATAACTTATAATAACGTCGTGGATAAAAACTCCCTCCCTCACTTTCGCGCCGTTCCTTTCCCCGCGCGATCGTTGGAATTATTGACGAGCCGCGAATTATATTGAAGGCACGAAAGGGTCGAAGGTCCTGGCGCTGGGAAGGAAGAAACTCCGCGAGGTGTGGGTGGAGGGGGGGGGGCGAAAAAAGACGCGCCCTTAAAAAAATAAGGGAACAAAGACGAAGGGAAAGGGAGGAATAAAGCGCGCGCCTCGATAGAAATAGCGACTGCTTGATACACCGTGCACATCGGATAAATTTTCAATTGGACAAATTCTGAAAGGGTCGCTACTACACCCTCTCTTTCTCCCTCCCATCCGATTCCTCCTCGCCATCCCCTCCGGCATACGGTCGAGCAAGTTTAAAAATCGATGCAGTCCCGAGGAACCTTCCTCGTCTTTTTCCTCTTGCGTTTTTTTTACCGTCTCCTCCCCTCCTCCCTCCATCTCGATTTCGTGGGGGCGAAACCACCCTTCCTTTCCTTTTATCGGATTTCCTTTTCTCCTTCTCGTGAATAGGAAAAGAACGTATACACATACTGGTCGGAGGTGGCCAGATACGCGTATGGTGGACGACATAAACTACGGAGCGATAAGCGTACCTCTCCTTTTCGTCGTTCCCAATGCGATTTTTTGGTAGACACGATTGGAATTTGAATGTATGTATGTAAAGTCTAGCTCTTATCTTTATTTTTGTTAGATCGAAAAGGCGCTGGATAAAACGCAGTGTATATTGAATTGTTATTAATTAATTTATATACGAATATAAAATATTTCGCTACATAAATTAACAATTTGTTTGTTGTCGAATAAATATTTCAATTGCATTTATACCCACTATTTCAATTATAGACTGAGAGTATATGAATTATTTTTACGATCCGTTGCTTCAACGGCCAATCTGTATTTTTAATGCTTTCCGGGCGAACCTTTGGGGATATTTCCGCTTTGATATATCACGTACGCGCCGCGCGGGATCAGGAGCCGCGGAATTGCAAATCGAAAATACGAATCCATTTTTTCTCCGAACCTTGAAGCTTCGCCTCGTGTCTATACATATACATATACATCGTGCCGATGTATACGTGCACTCCGTGACGGAGGGGTCAGGGGGAAGGAGGGCGGAGGGAGGGAGGAAGGGGGTTATATTGGATGTGGGTTCGGGGGCGCCCCGAAATTTCGAATGCGGGCCACGTAGACGCTAAAACGCCCCCATGATTCAATTCGCATCAGCCATCCTCCTTCGTCCCCGGTTTCCCTCTCCCTTCCCCCGTCTCTTCCCCCTTCGTCGTCCCTCGGCAACCTTAGAGCACATCTTCGGGAAGCTCCCAGTGTGTTCTAGCGTTGGCGCGAAGACATTCCCGGAGCGTGTCAACCCGTGCGCTACTTACCGCGATTGTCTACTCTCCCGCACACCCCCTCCTACCCTTCTTTCGTCCCTCGCGGCGAGAATTTTCCTCTTATACGGCCCTTCGCGACGGGAGAGAGGGGGGATGCAATTTCTATTTTAGAAGCCGATCGAAATGCATTTAGGCGGCTGCGTCGAAGCCGAGCGAGCGAGTGAGCGCAAGCTTGCCTGGAGTGATGGTGGGCGCGAGAAAGAGGACTCGCTTTACAGCTCTCGAGGATCGATATTCGGCAGCTCGGACTCGTAAACTATTGCTGTATCTATACGCGCGCGTTGGCTCCGACACTTTAAAGCTCCTCGAAGAGAGGAAACTTGGAAGCGACAATATGTACACGCGAATACGGCGCGTGGTGTGACTTTAACTCGTAACAAAATATGCACGTTAAAAAGGGGAGAGGTGAGAGCTTTTCTCTTTATCGTCATCCTTATTTGTAGTATAAATATTTCGATATCGTGGTAACTGAGTCGCAATTCAAAATTCTGTTGGGATAAAATGTACTTCCGAATAAAGCGACAAATAATTCTTCATGTTTCTCCATTATTTTGCTTTATTAATTATTTGAAGCTTAATTCGCAAAAAGCTTTTCATTTTCAACAATTTGTAATTCAAATGTTATTTGATATTCCAGCTAATGAACATTACCAAAGAAACATTATAAAGAGAATAACACTATAACTTAATTTTCTGCACAATTACTTTTCAACTTCACGATTACTTTATATGGCTTTATATTTTGAATATTACAGATATTTAATTTTGATAAATAAACAATTTATAAAAAAACAGATGTATCGGAAAATTATGGTTTGAAAAAGTGAGACTTTATTTGCATTACATTCAATATTATGACATAGGATGCTGTAGTAGAGTAATTAAATGTTAAATATACGTATCACGCACACATGTTTAAACAGATAAAAAATTAGCACTTTATATAAGTGGTATGGCTAGTTAATTAATTATGATAAATGATCAATTTGATAATTAATTAATTGAAACTCGATTGAGTCGATAACGATGAAGTTACGAAGATGCGACGTACGCGAATTATGTAATACAAATTGAATGTAATTAAACGAACTAATATGTGGGTCATCAAAATTGGTGAAAGCGTAATATGATTCGCCTGCACATGAACAAATCACATTTTGGATATTAATGAAAAAGTTTCGTTTGACAGACATATATATTTTGTCGGAATACCGTACATATTTTATTAAACGTAAAGAAATCTCTCATTCTCCGATAATGGATATGACACGCGCGCAATATAATGCACACGCAGAGAGAGAGAGATTTTTATTTGTCGGAATAATTAGAGTAATAAAATATAGAGTAATAAAATATTAGAGTAATAATGTGTGACGCGAATTATACATACGCAACTATTTCTCTCTTTCCCGTCTTTTCTGAAAATATATTATATATATTCAAGCTTACGTTATTTCTACGCGAGCAATTTTAACGTTACATTCAATTCGAAATTCTGCGATAAACGACACACACCGCGCTGCAGCGAAACGAATGGATTAGCTTCCATTCTCCGTGTATAGTAAAAAAAAAAAGGAAGGAGCAAACGCGTACGGCATACACGTACCGGCCGAGTATATGGAACTCATCGTTTCCAAGCTATTTCGCAAGTCCGCCCAATCGTAGAACTATTTTGTTGTACGTGGCTGGATTCAGAATGAAATTTTCCTTACTGCTGGTGCTTGTCAAGGCGCCCGAAACTGTTAAGATGAGGTTACGCGCTAAATCGACGACGGTATTTACGGAGTGAAGCCTTTTTTCCGAGAAATACGTTTCTGCGCGCGAGAAACTTTGCCGAGATTATGTCGTTAATATTTTCGGAGATCTTTTAACAATCCAATATTTTGATATTTTTCAACATGTGCATTGCAATTAATCTCGAGTGCGATGCGCAATATTCATCTGTCGAAATTGATGGAGAATTGCGAGTAGATCGATCGCATATATCGGGATTGTAATACCAATCAGCGTATGTTATTTTGGTCGTAAGATAAATATTGTTTTTCGCGGAATTCGAGGTAGCAGAACATATTTCAGAGAAAAAAACGCAAAATTTATTCGGCAATGCTGCTGCTGATCTGAAACGTTTTCTTTATGCAAACGTCGCAACGATGGGTAAAATTGGGATGCGAGGCTGTTTGAAAAATAAAATACGTAATTCAATCGATGTGTGAAATTTATTATAAGGAATTCAGTCTATTTCAAAGAATAAAACAAATCGATTTTTTTGTTACATTATCTGAAAATACGATGTCTGAGGAATATGTCTTTTAAATTTTATTGAAAAATTTGCAAAATTAATGGTGTTATAAGATTTTGAATAGGATATCGCGCGAGTCTTCAAATAGCTTGCAAAACTTTAAATACGTTTTTCTCAACACACTGTTTTGGTGTGGATATCTTGAAAACTAATTGACCGAATAATTTCAATATTTTTTAAATAAAAGGCAATATTTTTGGGGGGATACTGAATTTAATTAGAATTTAAAAACTTAATAATTAATATTTTTCTGGCCTTCAAAAAATGAAACAATTTTAGCAAAATTAAAACATCTAATTTTAAAATGACACTACTTTGTTATATTTTATTTTTTTTTAATGAAATTAGGTTTAGTATCCCAAAAATATTCTACGGAATAAAACTAGACCAAGTTTTTTTATTTCTGACAATTACACGAGGAGCATGTCACACCGTCGAATCATATATTTTTGAACACGCTACGCGAAGAGGCTCGTATTGAACAAAAAAAAGCTTAATATCCAAGATTTAAAAATTCTGACGTACTGTTTAAACATCAATAAAAAAATATATAAAACGCCAAAAAGATTAATTTCTAATATTGTTTAAAAAATTTCCTGAAAATCATCAATTTTTCATACGCTGGAATAGACTGCCTTTAATAGACGAGCAATGCTGAATAAAAAAGTACATGGAATAAAAAATCTACGAACGCACAAGCTACTTTACAACAGGCGGCTTGGTTGTGAAAATTTTCAGATATGGAATTTTCTTTGCAGTTTGCAAAGAGGCAAGAAAAAGAGTCTCGACGAGACGATGACGATGACGAGGATCGAGGTCAGAGGTGATACGAATTGATTTGTAGGGGGACGAACGAAAGCTTGCCGAGGTCCCGTGAAATGGATGAAACGCAAACTTTTCAACGTGCCAGTGTGGAGAGGGCGATTTCTTCCCTATCGACTCTATCCCCATCCCCTTTACGATCGTTCCAACCCTTTTGCGCGAACGACGCTCCCGGATAGACTTCTTGAAAAGAGCAACGGTATTTTCTGACTTCCCTCCGTACAATCGCGTTACCTGCATATTAAAATCTCGTTAACGCCGTCGCTTAAAATTATCTTGCGCCTTCCTTTATTCTTCTCGCCGACTTTAACGCGTAGCCGCCGGATAGGTTGTGTAATCGATGCAACACTAGTGTATATTTTTTTTATTTACTCTTTAATTCATCCTTCAACAAGTGTGTGAAATTGTAATATAATTGATTTATAGAGAAAGCATTAAAGAGTAATTATATATATTAATGAAATTCTCATGATTACATTCTTCTTGAACAATTGTCAAATGGTAAAAAGTCGCAGAATTATTAATTTTGCCACTGAAAAATATATATAAAAATCTGGGTCAATTCTTCATTAAAAATGCATATACACGTCGTCATGTATATTTCATAAAATTGTTAACAATGCATAAAAAGCTTTGTAAACGGCATGTTTGATTCATTAGAACAAGCGTTTCTATCAAATTACAAGACGCAAATATCACCTGAATTTTTCACGTCCTGTTACATTCTGTAGATATGCACGGTACACAGTACATATTATGCCGGATAACTCTCTGAATACGGGCTGCTTGTCAATTGATAAGGACGGCTAATCAAAATTAATGCGGCCATCGTTAACGACGACGGTGTCGAACTTTCCCCAAGATCCATTCGTCTCTTTCGAGGAGGATCGGACTTGACCAGGTTCGAGCGAAACCCAACGGTCCTACCGCGGGAATATCCAGACGTTTGTCAAACGTTTTCTTGCCGCGACTTGTCGGAATCGGCCCCCGACAAATTGGCTGGCCTGGCAAAAAGCGAGACCGAGCTTTCGGCGTGTGTCTGTATATGTCCCACGTTGGCTGTTACGGTTAGAGGCGAATCCCTTTCGTCGCTTTTTGTCGGATCTGGCAGAACTCTCTCGCGGCAGTTTGCGCGCAAGATTTCTCTATTACGCGTAATGAAACGACGCGGTTACGTCCGAAAACAGAACGGCGGGACGGATAATTCATAGCGGCCGCCGAGAATGGACGAGTTCTGGCTGTTTTGATACCGCCGGAACGGTGGAAAGCTCGCCGAGAAGTTAAATGTGCAATTATAGCGATTATACTCCATTGTGACGTTAACAAATATTGTGATAGCCTAGTTTTCGAGAAGATATTATAATGATATAATACTATGTTTTTTTAGAAATCTAGGAGGGTTGGTAAAATATCTCATTTGTCTGAAAATAATTTATCTGGAGAAAAAAAAAAATTTGTATAAAACAATTAACAAATAAGAAAATTAATAAAAGTGAATAAACGACCAAATGAATTTTTTTGGAAAGAATACAACTGTTTATATATATCTCGAATTATAGAATTATAGATTTATAGAAAGTTTACTAGCGACTTTTTAAAACTCCTTTACGTGTGTCGTGTATTCATCTAAGAATATATCTTTTACATAGCCTTTTTTTGCGCATATTTTAAAATTCTGTCGGACAAAATTTCTGTCCGTCCAACTTTTAATAGCTGATATTGATTTAGTTTTAAATCACATACATGTCTGCTCAATATTAATTTATAATTTAGTTATCAGTTATCAGACGTTCTTCAAAATGAATTTTGAAGAACGTCTGAATTTCTATCAATTTAGTTTTATATCAATTTATAAATTATTGGATTATAATATATTATATAATTTATTATATTAAATTTATAAAATATTGATTTAGTAAAGAAATTTTATTTAATTTTGAAAAATTTTTTGGTATATTATTAAAAAAGTTTGAATTAATATCTTAATATAATTTGTTATTTAAATAACTTTATAAGGAAAAGAAAATTTCACAATGCCAGAAATTTTGTTGCAAAAGAAAAATAATTATAACACTTTATCGTTGTACGCTTAAGTTTCAATACTTTTGAGAATTGTTAATCTTCAATGAATTTGAATCGGATTCACTATTGAGATATTGATGAATAGTTAAGTTTTCGAATCCCCTGATTGTTAGGTATCAATCGGTGTGAGAGTGGAGAAGCCAAACTGAAAGTAGGACGATCTTATAAAAGCGGGGAACTATGCTTATAAAATTCTACTACGAACTTTACATTTGAGATCGACTCGAGTTCGGTTTGACACATCGCAGGAAAGTTATAATTCGGCTTCAATTTGGCACATTTGACCGAAGAAGAAGTTGGGTACCGCGTGCTTCTCGGAACACCGCGGAACTTTATATTCACGGTCGATGTGGATAAAATATAAGCGTTTATTCCGACGATGTTTGAATTAATAATTTTCGTCCCCGATAAGCGACCAGCCGAATGTCGGAGAAAGTTTACCGATTTCTCTTATGTATCGCTTATATATCGAACGTGTACGCTGTCCGATATATAAATCAAAGTTGAAAGTTGTAATTCTTGCGAGAAAGTAAGATCTCTTTGTTTAAAAAGGGAATTTTTACCCATATCACATCTTTTCCTTGTTTCAAAATTCATCATCGAGGATCTCCACTTGCGCTTTTAACGTCGGATAATCTCTTGAAAACATCACGGCTAGCACATTTTAACGATGGCTTATATTCCTTGGCCGCTCCATTTATTTTACAACTGCAAATTTATTACGGCTGACAAATTTATATCCGCGGTGACAAATTTCAAGTGGGACGATTCTACGCCGTTTGTGCCGAAGATTCGCGTGCGGTCCAGTGCGGTTCTGCGTTCCGCAGGAGAGAAGTCCATGTGTGCATGTCGCGACGCACGTGCGGCGACTGTGAACGTGGACAAGGCTTAATAATGGTGGAAGCTCGCGGCTTAACATTCCAACGTGACCGCTGGCATACGCGGTTAGCACACCTGAGGGATTTTGAGTTATGGTCGGAAACGACGGCGGTGGCGGCGGCTGGGGAGACGCGGGGGGCGACGCAGGTGAAACGAAGGGCCGCGGGATGACACGAGGGTTGAGGAAGGGAGAGGAGGGTGTCCCACCCTCCTGCCGTCTCGGCAGGACCGCGCTTAGGGATTGCGGACGAAGGAGCGGGTCGAGGACGTAACGCGGTGACGCGCTTTACGTCCGTGTCACTTGCGAGGTAGCATTAATTATTTCATATCCAGAACTCAATTTCCCGCCCAACGAGAGTCAATTCTGTCTCTCACAGGCTCGTCCGGATTGCGAGGTGACATTAACGACGATTAAATTGATCCCCAAGTAAAAAAAAAAAAAAAAATAAAAATATGAAAATTGTTCGCGAATTATGCAAATTTGATGTCCAGCGATATATATAATGAAAAATACCTTACTCGTAGTTTAGAAATTATGTAATTATGTAGCATCACAAATTTAGATTATTCATTGAGGCGTCCGTGTTATTGACGATGTTATCTTTTTATTTACATGTGTGAGATGTTATTCTTTAGTAAGAAGATCATCATATATCAGTAAAATCCGCCGACGAAATCTAGAAGTGGTGTCGGTGTCGTCGAGCTAATTACGTCTGGCGTCGCCGATATATCGGGCGCCGTCGACGAATATTGCAGCTATCGGAGCTATCTGGTATCGGCGACAATTGTTGGGTTGATTGTAAGTATCTTCGCACGTAATTGGGCTGCCAGTGAAGCACCGGTCAATTATTGCGGAAAAGACACGATTGAGGTGTCGCGACTTCGAATTTTACGCTCGCGTGTAACTCGCGGCAACAAGTAGATTTTATTTCGAGTTATATTAAAAAATGTTGAATGTTAAATTGAGTAAGAACAATGTAGTCTGTAGTGCAATTTATCGTTTGACTTTAATTTAAATTTAAATAAAGAGAATAAACTTAGGGAAAATATATATAGATGAAAAGTTTAAGGGTCCAGTCTACTCTAGCAGTATGAAAAATAAATGATTTTTAGAAATTCTTTTTTGAAGAATATTAAAAAATTAATTTTTTTGACGTTTCACATATATTTTGATTGACGTTTAGACAATACGTCAGTATTTTTAAATCTTGGATATTTAGTTTTCTTTTTGTTCAAAACGAGCCTCTTCGCGTAGCGTGTTCAAAAATATATTCGACGGTGTGATATGCTGCTCCTCGTGTAACTATCAGAAATAAAAAACTCGGTCTAGTTTTATTCCGTAGAATATTTTTGGGATACTTTTGGGATAACTTAATTTCATTTAAAAAAATTAAAAAATAACAAAGTATAGCGTTATTTTAAAATTAGATGTTTTAATTTTGTTGAAATTTGTTCATTTTTTTAAAGATCAAAAAATATTATATATTAAATTTTTAAATTTTAATTAGGTTCAGTATCCCCTTAAAAAATGTTCTCTTTTATTTAAAAAAAAATTAAAGTTATTCAGTCCATTAGTTTTCAAGATATCTGTTACACCAATTTTTAAAACAGTGTTTAAAAAAAAAGCTTTAACTTTAAAGTTTTGCAGATCTGTTTAAAGACGCTCGCGCTATCCTGTTCAAGGTCTTATACCACCGTTAATTTTGCGAATTTTTCAATAAAATTTGAAAGACATATTCTTCAGACATACGTTCAGAAAATGTAACAAAAAATTGATTTTTTTTTTATCTTTCAAAGTAGACTGGGGCTCTTAATTAATCTGGGGGGAAAGAGAAATGCAAGACAATGGTTTTTTAAAAAATGCTTCTTTTGCGCGCGACGATACGAACACAACAGTTGCGAATTTCATTATCAGTACACTCGTACTTGAAAAGTTTCCCTGCTAAAAGCCGTCGTCGCCGCCGTCCTTTTACGGCGGATCATTAATGATTAATTACCTTTCAACGCTCGGCGACGAGGGATCAATCGATCGCGATCGGCAGGCAGGTATACAGCAGCCCCGTATGTGCTTCTCTCACTCTTCGACCACCAATTCGGCTCCCCTCGCATTTAGCACTGATGGTTTTGCACGCAATTTGGAGTCACGCCAGGATGTGGTTTCCCACGACCATCCTGGAAAGAGGATACCGAGCGGATTGTGAGATGGAACAGAAGATAGGCAGTCCGATCGGCTTCTGGACGCGCAGATGCAGCCGTATTTGAGCGGATTGCCAAGTGGCTGGCGCGTCGCATTCCGTGGAATCCAATGGTCCACCATTAAGTTCCTGTCCAACTGCAGATCAAGACTTAGTTTTAAAACGATTTATTATGTTTGATAATTCAAATTTTATCTGCCTTCAGGTTTTCTTAATTCTACTATGATTTTTTAATTATTAAGTAGTGGGTAAAGGAGATCTATTATATACAATATATTTTTATTAGTTATATTTTTATTCTTCTCTTGTATAATTTTACAGAGAGAAATAGTTGATAATAGATAAGTACAATGGACTTTAAAAAGAGATAGAATTGTAGTTGTGTAACAAAGAAAAATTAAAATTTCTCATCGATTGCAGATATATTTTTCTGAGAAGACCCATTTATTTAATATGTTATCTGAAGAATCACGTAGGAAACTCGTGAACCAACTACTTGGCTCCAGGAAAGATTTGAACAAGAGCTTCTCCTTCATATACGTCCGTAAACCATTTACGAAGGCGTACTCTTGCGTACATGTGATGTTTGCGTGCTGGCCTGTGGCTATAAACGTCCAAAGATGTGCTTTCGCGTTTACACGACTTCGTTTGTTGCGAGTTGCACGCAATTTGATCACAGAAAACAGTCGTGTTCCAGAGCCATTAAAACTACCGCGCGATAATATATTAATTTTCCCTATAAAATTTTCTCTTTTAAACATTGTTTCCAAGATTTGCAAACATCTATTTCTATTTTGCAATCAGAATTGACGCAAAAACGGGTGTTATAAATGATCTGCGACTCCGACTACATTCTACCCATCTACCTCTGCTTTGAGATCCACGGTTTTCATTCTCTCATTGCACATGTAGATCTATGTAAACTAACGTATGCGTATTCCGGAGACAAAAGGAGGATATGAAACGTCCGGTGACGGGGGGAAATTGTTAAAATGCCGTCTTCTAGTCTTCTTGCAGGAATACCCTGGTTGAGTTATTATTCCACGTCTCTTTTCTTGGAAGATTATTTTTCCTACGGGTGACAAAACTTTATAACATTACGAAGTCCATAACGTGCTTACAAGCTCGCTCGGAGATATTCGCAT